ATCGTTTAATTAATTAACTGGAAAAAACTAATCAATTTAAAAATATCTTTGGTATCTGCCTGCTCCTCTCGCTATCATATTTTCTTCTCACCTAACACCACCTTATCTGGAATGAATGGATGTTTAAAAGAAAATTATCCATTGAAGATGATAATAATAATAATAACTAGTACGATTAATCATTATCGACGTTATGTCTGTTTAGACAATAATTTATTAGTCTTCTCGGCTATCCTTACTTTTTTCTTTCACTCTCTTTCTCGTTCAGTTTGTACATTACTCTGTATCCCGGGTTTTTTAACACCAAATGTTAGAAAAAAAGGACGCTTTTGTTGTGCGTTCGCCTGGTTGGTATATAGCCTACGTTTTTTCTCTTCTTAGTCAACTCTTTTATCATTATTATAATTTTCTTTGAAATAGTGTTATGCTTTCAACTGTTGCTGTATATAAATACATCCGTTCAATTCTTTGACCTCATGATTAGCTATAAATGAGTTTTGACATTCATTTACATGTCTGTGTGTTTTTTTTTCTTTTCGACCATGAATTCATTTGTTGTAAATAGTTCTACTCTTATTCTCTTTGTTTTGTTTCCATTAATTTCACATGAATTTGGTATTTTGTTGATTTTGTTATTTAGGATTAGTCATTTTACTACTCTGCCACTATTACTATTACTACTACTATTGCTAATAATAGTAGTGTGTTAAAAAGAGGCAAAGCAATGAATGTATCTAAACAATGAAAGATGAACAATTGTTTTTTCTAATGATATTTTTTTAAAAATTATAAATTGTAATAAAATATTAATGGCGGTAAAAAGACAAGATTGACAAGCGTAAATAAAATTAATGATAAAATGTTAAAATGATAATTCTAAGTAAAGTAAAATACCAAAAATATTCATTGTATAGATTATTTATAGAAATAAAGTACATTTTTGACTTATTAGGAAGTCTTAGTTTGTACATGATAAGATTTGATAATAAGAAATGCGGTAGAGCACAATTCCGTATAAATATTTAACAGTAGATGAGACTAATTATTGTAATATTCATTGACATAAATGTGCTGTACTTTGTTTATTCCCCATAATTAAAATTACAATTAGATCCTGAAATATCGAAGAAGTATGATCAATCAGTTAGTGAGGTTGTAAATTTTTATTGGCTAGAAGTTAGGGTATATGTTATGTAGGCCTAGTATACCATTTAGATCAGTGAGTAAAGTTGATTAATAGTAGAGTATATATTGAGAAAATGTTTGCAGCGGTCAAGTCAAGTCATAAGATTTGTCCATAAAGTTATTAAATGTTGGAAAATATTTTAGCGCAAAATGAAGATTGTGGGTGGGGTGTGTTTTGTTCATTAATCTGAATGATTAAGTTGTGTTTTATTATCTTGCGGAAGCTTATTTCGTGAGGACATTTCTACATTTTTAATAGCGAGTAGTGTGTTAAGATAGTCTGATTTCCATATGATGATGAGAACAAAATATTTTAAAAAGTCATTAGTTGTTGGTTTAAGCTATACCAATAGGTATGGACTTCCCGGTAGAGGTCATCAAGATAGTCTTTACATACAGACATTGAGACTTATCAGGATATCTCTCAAAGTTCGTCAAATTGATTCTGCTTAATAAGAATACTCAACCAGTAATATTCAATTTGAAATAAAACTCGAATTCAACGTTTAATTCCATAGGTAAAACGTTTTCTTTACTTTTCTATGGATTTTTGTCAGTAATGTTGATTCATTAGAAATGGTCATATTTTACAGTTTACCTCTTCAATGACAATTCAAGTTAAACCTTTACGTTCTTTTTTTCGAAAAACTTGTCCGCAACACTTATCTCGGATTATCTTTTAAAATTAGTGGTTTAATGTGGACTGAAATTAGTTGAAAGAAATATTGAAAATAAAGGGGAAAAGCTAAATCGATATTTCGTTCTACTTTTTGCGCTAGATTAATGCAGTCCACATTAATGACCCAATATATAAAATTAAATGTTAGTTGTTTGGGAAGTAGTTGTTAGGAAACTCTGGATCTACGTTACGAGCTGACGGACACCCGTTAGTAAGACGTGCCTGTAATCTTGATAGGATTAATGTTCCCTGTAGAATTTTCACTGAGTTACTCACCTTTATTATCTGGGATGTTATCTATCAGTGAGCGTTGGAATTATTTAAATTTCAATCGCTGAGATTATTTCAAATATAATTTTCACATATAATACCAATGAGCTAGTTGGGCCTCAACTGACTTCATATATAATTTGGATATTTACAGTCAATTAATTAGTAATTAGTGACATATCGTAAATATGAATGGAATTAAGATCTCATCACTAAAATAATACATTTAACCTATTAATTGAAATTCTAGTGAATCTCTATTCGAATTTACATCAGTTATGAATTATAGTACAGTCTCCGTTCACAATTTCATTTAATAAATTCCTGTCACATTGCTGATAGTGTTGGATTCCAAGGTTAGCACTAAGGTTATCATTATTACTCAAGTGATGTTAAATAGTTTCGTGAACATGTTGTACGTGGGACTGATCTCGCATGTGGTTGTTGTTGTGATCTTATGTGCAGTCTCAAATAGTGAAGAAAGTTTTTTTTCTAATATTAGCTCCTGATTTTAGGAAACTACTTTTAAATTGTGTATGAAAAAGTCTTCACTAAATGCACATACTTCAATGATGATAATAATAAAATGATTTATCGACCCAACCCTTTTGTTACATAACTGTGCGGATAAATGGCAGTGCAAGTATGGAAAACGCTTGGTCTTTTTTCTGTCATTATTGTAAAAAATGGAAAGGGAGAGAAAAAAATCATTTGTTAACTTTATTTTACAAGGAAATAATGACATTTTTCAAGATAACTTATGAGAGATTTTTTAATTTTTGTGAAAGGTTAGTTTTCTGTAAAACATATCTCAGAAAATAGACTGTCAATTTAGTAAACAGTAACATATTACACATTTTTTTTTCCAAAAAAAAGAAGAAAATAGATATTTTGTGTATCCTTTAGAATTCTATAATTTCATTTTAGGAAAATAGAATAGAAGGATGAGAATCGAAAAACGAGCAAGGAAACTAAATGAATAATAATGAAATTAATCACTGTCACAAGTCATACACAGTTAAAAATGTACTGACATTCATAATTATAAATAACTTGATTATATTATTTACAAATATATACTGGAATTCTATATAATAGTACATGACAGTAGCTCAATCTAATACAATTAACTCAATCATTCAATTAAACTAATGAATATGATGTGTATAAACGTTTCATCAGTATGTTTTAAGAAAGAAAATATGATTAATTTTTCAGAACTCTTAAATATATATGTTGTGATTTTGGGTAATGACATATTCGTTAGATAAAGTACAGAATATTTCTGAATAAAATTTAAACAAATTTACGAGTGTAACTCCAAAAGAAAACTTATAAAGTCATTCTTAGTGTAACGCTACATGAATCCATAAAGTCTATAGTTTCAAAGATATTCGACATCGATGCTTATCTTTTTAGTTTTAATAAACTTAACTAGTTATAGTAGAGCGGTTAGTCATCTAAGTCTGTTCTTGTTACCACTCACACGAGACAAACCATTTTTGAAGTTTCTCACTTGCCCACCTATGCACCTGATTTAATTAGTATATTATTTTTCCTCACCATTACTAATTACATATTTATCGACTTTCCACTGGGTTTAATGCATGTAATTTGAGTATACCCTTTAAAATTTTTGATATTTGTACTGCTAAAGTCTACTATTTTAATTTATCTGATATAAAACATATCAATGAAACATGCTTGTATTCAAGGTATGGAATATTAATTATTTATAAGATTTTTATCAACTTTCTAAGTAACCGGTCATCATCAGTTAAATATCCATAATACCGCCTTCTAAAAAGTATTACCAATGACCTATTAGTTATGAGTGATTACACGTTCTAATTTCTAAACAGCCTTATTTTTTTAAACATAATATCCATTTAATTTATTCAACTTTGGAACTGTGAAGTAATATGAACACTCTTTCGTATTGATTATGAATCAGTTCAGTAAGCTGAAGAAATCGTTAAAAAAAAATTAGTTTGTCCAACTTGTTTTGAATTTCAACTTTGATGAGTTATTGAAGAACCTAAATAGTTTCAATTTTCTTTATCTAGCAAGTAAATATTAGTGGTCTGTTTAGTCTTTACATCTATTCTCACTAACCAGTAGAAGATGTATAAACGTATTTCAAATCACATCATAATCATCATTTTCTGAAATACAACGAAATCAAGACATCAACCATTCATTACGATAATAGAACTAATAAGGATCCATTCACTTCTATTGTTCCTGTGACAAAATATCTATATTGACCACAAAAACCTTTGTTTCACTCCACTCATGATTCGGTACATGTGTGCATTTTTAAGTAGCCCTTAAAATCTAAGGTGAATTAGTTGTCCAATACTCTAGTTTTTGTTATGTTCTCCCCTGTAATTGTTTTCTGTTCATAATATCGTATCAGCTCTATATATAATTCATTTTCATTGAAATCATAAAGCAACCAATGTTAGACCACCATTAAAGTCCGGAAGCACTGGACGGCCGTCTCGTTTTAGTGTAGGACTCTTCAGCAGTGTGCGTCCACGACCCCTCGCGTTGAACTCGAGTCCAGGACCTTCGGTCTGACGTGTGAACGTTTAACTCTTAAGCTACTGAGCCGGCATCTAACAGTGTTTATATCTGGCCCCAGTCAATCCACAATATTACTTCACTATCTATTGCTTTCAGTGAGTAACTGCCCTATATCCGACTCATCTTAACTTTTCACTAGAACTCTGGGAATTTCTTGTCGAAGCTAGTCACTAGTGAACGCATGATAATTGTCAGTTATTTATTTTACTTTGATAATGTATAGACAGAAACAGAACGATTTGTCTGTTGGCTATTTTCCTGTTCTTTATTATTTTAGGTGGACCTTGTTTTCATAATGTGGATTTTGCAGCACAATTTCTTACAGCCTATATGCACACTCGTAATCATAATTTATTACAAACTATTCTTACTGTACAATCAATTCGACCTGATACATCATCAACATCGTTATTTGAAGAGGAAAAACGAATTCGTTACAAAATTATGGATATATCAATATATATCACATCATTATTAATTTGTATATTATTTTTAATATTTTTATTCGGTGTATTATTTACTGTGAATCATTTTCAACGTCAACGTGCCAATTATCATTTACGTTCAACTGGATCATTTCATGCTAGTGGACGTTTAGGACAAAAAATGATTAAAAAAGTTAGTTTGTTAAACAGTTTTTATTAATTTTTAAAAATGAAAACATTGAATATTTGGTATATGTTAAATGGTAGCTAATAGTAAAATCCAGGTCGGTTTTTTAACAATATATATATGTTTGAATATCAACGCAGAGTTAGAGGTATACAGCTAGCCCTAGTTCAAATTACAATCGATCTATAAAGGTGAGCAACATCACGGTATCCATTCATGCTTTTTAACCGCTAATAGAGACTGATCAAACTTACTTTCAAATATCAACAGCATCAAATACTCGAAGAAATAACAAATGCTGGGTAGTTTGTTCATGATAAAAATGATATATTTTATAATTATCACAGTGTTATGGAAAAATAAAATTCCGATATTTAGTGGCCTTGTTTCAATCGGTTCTTCAGAGAACAGATGTTTATATAACTCATTCTGTAAAAATGATGGCTTATATGAAGTGACAAAACATTAGAAATTCATTGTTTTATTCATTGAAATAACTTATTCAATATTCAAATTATTTGAAACATGTTTGTTCAAAGAAAGGCAGTTTCCTTTTGTTATCATCAAGGGGAATGGATTCTAATCTAAGTGAACAAATAGTTATAGTGATAAATGATAAAAGGATCCTAATCATTTGGTCCAGTCTAGTCGAGTATAGAGGATGGTCGTCAAAACACGTCAAAACTGATGACAATAAGCTTCTTGATTAACTAGCTCTTGTGCGTATTTAGCAAATATCAGTTTATGATGAAAGTAACCTTTAAATAATACAAAAAGTTACTGGACGTAATTCACTAATAACCGTAAGCTAATTTGTGATTAACTTCAACAGTTCTTATACGCTAAGTATAATCATTAGAGTTCGAAATCAGTTAGTTACTCTCACCGATAAGATGAAATGAAAATCGTATTTAATCATAAATGAACTAGGTTTAAAAATTTTACATTTGACTGTAGCCCAAATGCCGTTCAATACCAGTAAACACCGAACATCGTCTTCAACATTGCTCATTCATAACCCTACCAGAAATCGAACTCAGAACCTCCATGTTTCGTCATTTATGTTTAAACAATAAGACTACTGAGCCGATATATTATTGTTCATTTTGTCTAACTTCAGTCAATCCTCACTATTGAACAACTAACTTCTAATGTCATTGGTGAGCAACTACCTCACATCCAACATGGTTGAATTCTAGTGATCACAACTTCTTACTAAAACTCAACAAATTACTTCTTAAAATTAGTTACTAGTGAGCGTATGGTTATTATTAGCATAGAGGATTTATGTAGACTATTAACTATAAAATATAAAATAAATCTGAAAATGTCGATTTAGTAGTAACAAACTTCGAAAAATTAATATTTTTATATTGTACTTGTTGTGACCCTACTGCATGTTGCTGATCGTGTAGAGCATTGGTTTGAAATTCATCATTTGTTATTATTAAATTAAAACTTTATTTCTCTCATATAATATTTATAAACACTATGAATAAAATTATTCCTTGGTTATGTATTTATTTATAATGCATATCGAAACGCTGAAGAAACAGAAAAGCAAGTAGTTTTAAAATTTATGAGTAAGGAAACCGGAATATTATCGAGTAAAGAATATAGCTTAGTTAGAAATACAGTCAAGTACGATCTTTTTTCAGTTGAGGGGGTTCGTTTAACGTGTGTGAAGAATTTATCAGAAAACTACAGCACGATCGACACTGGCTTCTGTGTTGAGCTATATCTGAAAAAGTCTAAATCCATCGAGTTGTATTATCTCTAGGACCGTAACCGGAAATTCAGCATGAGCTGACAAATCTCAATCCTACATAGAGTAATCTGGCGTACCATAGCATCATTTAATGAACTAACCACCTAACCGCTATTCTTGTCCAATTCCAGCACATAATGGATGGTATGGAAATCACTAAGTTAGCATTTGTAAAACATTTCCAGACCACCGAACTCAGTATTTCAGGATGGTGCGAACAATCGGACTCACACATCTGGATCTCGGTATTACTAACATATTATTGTCACTGCACATGAGCAATCCTTTAAAGACAAAATTGACCGAACACGAAGTTTTCAAACATCCTGAATAATAAACGAATTGTGGAATCAAGTAATTCTGCCTAGTCACACTTATTAAACTTAAGTAATGAAGGTTACAGTGGCTGAATACCCTCGCTCTGCCCAAGACGCTTATGTGTATAAGCCTTTCATAATGTTGATAAACGTCTCAGATAAAATCAATTAATTAATAGAAAATTAATGATGATAACAGTTGAGATAAGAGATAATTCTAAACTTTTAAAATACAAGATTTCATTTCAAATATTTTTTGTTCAAACTGCTTTTCATTTCAGGTTCTTAAAGCAAAAATTTGGTATCCAAGTCCTGGCCTAGTCCGTAATTCACGAATAGTTAACAATTCACCCAATAATTATAACAAACCTTCAAAATTCACTGATGATCCTACTAAGTATTTATCATTAAAGCTACCAACGCTGGAACAACAGTCAATAACTACAACAACAACTACTACTTCATATGACGAACAAACAAATGATTTAAACATTAAAAATAAATCTGTTAGTGAATTAGAGAAATGTTTAGATATGCTACAAGGTAGAGCTTATGATACTACATTGTCTTGTGCAATGACAATTGATAATAAAGTGAGTACTAACCAATCGTTTATGATTCGATAAATCTTCAAGGATTAAATGTATATTCCTAAAACGTTCTCTTGAAAGATTACTGAATGACATCAACCCTGTACAATGGAATAAATTTACTCGGTAACGATTAGGAGAATATAGTCTGATCATTAGCTTTATTCTCAGGTTATGGTGATTTATTATTACAATTTTGGTTAGTAAGCTGTGAAAATGAACAAATAAAGTAAAATAGGTAACTAGAACGAAATCCTTATGCAATCACAACATGAATAATCAAATTATCTTGATCAAATCTCATAGTCGTCTAGATTATTCATGAGAATTAGAAAGCCAACAGTTATAAAACAGATCTAGTGCAACAGAAGATAATAGATAGGATCAATTTCGATAGGTCATGGAGACAGATAAGTATGATTGGGAAATTGTTGCAGATATCACAATGAGATTAAATATAAAACTTGAAAACAGACAAAATATCTACACAAAATTAGAGGAAATAGATACACTTGTAGAACATATTAAACAATTGATTTGATTTGATAATTCCTTATCTTTCCCCTATCATCTTAATGGTTGTTTTACATCTATAATTTGACCGTTATGAAAAAAGATATTCAGCTCTTGTTATTGCTTTTTTTGACTATACATTATTCTCGGTGAACAGGAGATAACATACACAAATGCATTAGCTTAATTGTGAAAGAGAACTTTATACCTTTCATGACTATCATTTGATTATTTACGTTTTTGTTGATAATATCCGATTTTTTTCCTTAAAAATTATTTAAGTTTGATATAACAACACATTGGGAATAAAAGTTTAATTTTATTGTCAACTAACTTGATAATGTTTAGTAGAATGATGAAGACGTTTCAGCGAAGGAAATGTCCTTTTCGACGATATTATTTCCTGAAGCTGTACAGTTGTATTAATATGTAATTTTTACATGTAGTATTCCATAGTAAATTAGATAAGTGTTACAAAATTATAAAGACAGTCAAACTTATTCAAGTGCAGGTCAATGAAAATGAAGTGGTGTTGCATAATATGGTTGAGATTATCAAAGTATCCAAGTATTTCAAGTAATAATTTATAAATGGAAGGGTGTTGTTTTAGTGTAATTAATGTTTTTAGGTATTAAATAAAAAAGGGGTTGTATCACCTAGCAACGTGGTCGAAAATTGTCGAGCTTGTGTTAAGTAATATTCTTGGAGGTAATAAAAGGTAAGAACCAATGAGACAAAAGATAAAGATAACTGTCCATTTAATAAAGGAGAAGGTAATAATTAGCAATTATAATTCATAAAATTAGAACGGGTGCTTAGGTCATGAGCGAATTAGAGACTGAACGTGACTCTTTTGTATACAGAGTTCGGCGTTGAGATGGTAAATTGCTATAGCCTTGGTTGTGCACAAATTCCTTATCCGAACCTCTTTTAACCAGTTCTTTTTACATTGTTGAGGATTTTGGACACAGGTTCGTGTGGTACTGCATGGCCTGAATTGACTGTGTGTTGGAGAACTGAGCTGTTGATTGATTTGTGTAACCGTTTGGATAACCATACAGTATAGTACATATTTATTTACCAAATGTGTTCTTTGTAAAGCCAGTGTAGCCTACTCCACATGAGCAAGTAAGCTGGTAGATGTATATTGAACTGACCCGAAGCGGCTCATCAGCAAGTGTATCTGCATTGCATATTCGTCTGGCTCTTGAGGATAGGGTATGAATTAAATTTTTCTTCCTACTCAGCGGCACCCAACTCTTGAAGTTCGTATATTGCTCATACCAGGTTGATTTTCTTTATAACGATCGTTTCAGAGACTTATCGAATCTTCGTTTTCGTGGAAAATGAACGATGTGGATTTCTGAGTTTAACTCTGCTTCTATTGTGAACTTAATCGAGTGGTGACAAATTTTATGATTTGTAATCATACCTTATTGATTATGACAAAATCACTGATATGATAAAAATTACTGGGATAACTAGTGTGATTGAATTAATAATTTATTTTGGGGATCTTTCCTCATATTCCAACTGTACAGGCATCCCAGAATCTGGATTTCTTGCTAGTTGATTGTCGTTAACATAGTGTATCTGTATTCACTGGAAAATTGATACTCCTCGTGGATTTAGAACTTACATCACTCAAGTAATCCCAATCAATAAGATCACTGTTTAGTACTCAGTAATTAGTCAGCTTATGTACCATTATGTAACTAGAAATGATAATTATACCACAGAAAATACTTGTCTCATTCTGCATAACGTAAAAGATAACAAATGATTAACTAATAATCAAAATGATGATCACGAAGTAAAATACAATGATCTTTCATTTTTGCCCAGTCATTTCATTTTAGTGAGAGTAAAATTAAATAATCTGTCATAATTCTGATAATGTGTGATAATTCATTAAAATATCTTTTTTCTAAGGTATTCATCAATTAACTCCTGTCATCATAACATACATATTTATTTATATGACTCAATACTTTTGAAATAATTCAGTGTTAGTTATATGTACTTGACTATTTTTACATAAGTGTAGAATATCAAGTGGAGTGTTAGATTTCTTGGAAAAACGCACAAACCCACATATTAACAACTTATTTTGATGTGTTAGTATCATATGTGTTGAACGTGAGAATTGTAGATAATTAAAAAAAACGGAATTGTAATACCATTTCCAACCACATCCTCTCAACAAACGTCATATATATATATATATATATTGGAATAATACTGGCTATATTTATTATCAGATTGTAGTACAATAGTCATCTGATATCTTCAGTTAATTAAAAAGAAAATTATCATTCAAAAGAATATAAAAATTTGTAGTGTAAAATACTATGGTTAGTATAACGGAAATAATGCTCCTTGTGGAGGAGCATAGACTGCCTACCAGCATTCTCCATCCAACCCTGTCCTGGGTAATCCTTTCCAGTTCTTTCCAGTTTTTATTCATCCTTTTCATATTTGCTTCTATTTCCCGACGTAATGTGTTCTTTGGCCTTCCCCTTTTCCGTTTTCCTTCAGGATTTCAAGTTAGAGCTTGTTTTGATTGGTGAGGAGGAAGTTAAAATTATAGTATACTATGATTATTATTATTGTTGATACTACTATTACTTACTTACGTCAATAATAATTATTATTATTAATCTTATAGTAGTGTAGTAGACGAGAATACAGGTGGGGACAACCAAATTACAGAATTTTGGTAAAATATGTGAACCATACATTGATTACATCATTTGCGAATTTCCAGTATTTGTCCTTCACATTCTATTTGATTCTTCCTATTCTCGATTAATTTCTATTTCTGTTTCTATTTCCGCTTCAACATAGTCTTCTAAACCTTCTGCTACCAGGGTTTCCACTTCCGATTGGTGTACCATACTACTTATGTCTGTCAACATGGGACACATACATCACAGTAGCAATAATAATGATGGTATTTTGAGTTTCATTATTCCTTCATATGTACCCTTTCATTTTGTATTCCTAAACTGTATTCCTTCTTCTCTAGCCTAACTTTTACCTTAGAATTAATAAAATAGATCTTTCTGACCAGGTTTCTTGAAACAATTTATCAAATTTCTTTTGTTTTAAATTGAATAAATAAAATGTTAAGAGAACACAAATCTAATAATGATATGACCAAGTGTTTTGAGATAAAATGACATAGTTCATCGGACATTCTGTTGTCATATTTGTATATTTATCGATATTTCATTGAATATCTTATTGAATTTTTGTCATAATTAAAGATAAAAGGATTGATAAATGTGAATTATAAAAGTTCCATTAACTATCTCTTTTATCGTAATATGTTACCAAACAAAAGTGACATAGAAATATTTCTTTTATTAGTTATAATTCCAAGTGATTTATATTTCTAATTTGATATATAACATTTTTCATGGTGCAAATGTAATTTCAAGTTTAACCTCTTTCATATATGTTATTGTGAGAAAAATGTCATAACTTTTAATGTCTATAATGAAGTTTATGCTACTTGAACTATATATTCTAGTATTTTCCTTTAAAAAAAGCCTTTGATGGAATATCAGTTAGTCATAAGCGAGAACTTCGGACATATATATTTGATGGATTCAAGGTACTGTGCCATCTCAGCATAGTGAAATGTAATTATCAAAAGGAATCTCGTAATATTAGATGTTGTAAAAGTATTTTTGTAGTAGAAGAGACTAGGCATTGACAATATGATTTAGGAAGGAAGAATGAATCTGTGAAATAAAAATTATAAGTATTTTAACATAAAGGTGAGTGTGTGTTTGTCATTATGGCTGTTATTGAGCAATGCCATAGTAAAATAACCTTGATTATTACAACTCTTGACGAGATTTATCTGACAAGATTTTTATTAACTTCTATTAATTACATGTAAAATATCTCATTGCTCCTTTTTATTCCATGTCTTTTTTTCTTTTCTTGCAGAATTCCGCTTCACTAACACCATCTTCACCCAGTTCACACAATCATTATGACGTTAATAAAACATTTTCCGATTTCGGTGATATGAATACTAAATTTACACATAATCATATTCCTTCGGCTCTAATTAAATATACTACTACACATACATTTACAATGCCAGTTTCATGTATTTCACAAAATTATCTCTGTAATTCATCATCACTATCCTCAACAGAACACCAACAAAATCAACGACAGCATTATTCATTTATCCCGATGTTAGAATCCACTGAATACGATCATTGTGGCAGTCCAAGTAATAGTACAATGACAACTGCTATAAATATGAATAGAACAAATAACTTCAATGATTTCGGCTGTCAACAAAGTGAAAATACTGATAGTTTTAATGATAACAGTAATAATTTCCAAACTATGCAAGAATTATGTCAATTTTTAAGTTCCATTACACAATCAGAACTGAATAGTTTTCAGAAAATCCTACAAAAGACCATACTTGATTACTATGGTTCAAGGGAACTATTAGAGATGAATAGTTATGAGCGATATCAACAGAAGCAACAACAACGGCTATGTACGACATTTTCCGGATTACCAAATTCAGCTTTAAACTCCGAAATTAATAATTCTGATTTTAATATAGTCTGTCATCTTCTTACTCAAAATGATGAATCAAACACGATGCGAACGATGCTGCATAATTCTGTGGACTCAATGATTTCTTGGCAAATGATATACAATTCTACCCATTTGCATCGTCTACTGAATCTTCGGATTCCAGACACCGGTGAAACATTGCTTCATATATCTGCAAGGTAAACCTCCACTCATGCATTTTTATTTTATGTAAGTAGGTGAACTACTTAATTACAAAAACGTAGTTAAATGTTATGTTAAACATTTTGTAATCTTAAAGAAACCACATAATAGATTTTGTGATGGACAGATTTTTCATTATAGGACGATGATGATGAAAGTTTAGCCTAATCAGAAGTATTTTGAGGTTGGTTTTATTCTGAATCCACCGAATACTTATTGACAATATACACAAACAAATACCAGATTTTTTAGGCAATGTTCTCATACGTACATTCCTACTTTTGTAATCTGTTTGGTGAAAATAAACAAGCCATGCATGTGAGATGGGGATAAAATTTTAAATATAAAACAATAAACTTCCTGAGGTTTCTACTAATAATATTAGCTGCAGTTTGGTAATTTTCCCGATAAGTGGAAATTGTATTATCTTCTATCTTTACTGTTTGCTTCTCTGAAAGCAACTGATCACAGTTCTTATGAAATGATGGATGAACGACCTACATCATGAACACATGGTTATGGTTTGATGTCTGTTTTATTAAGGTTAAACTCATCAACAACTGTGTTTACACCCGAAAGTGTTTCAAAACCAATAAAGTCACAGTAGATACGGTTATCTGTCTTCGGATAATTTGAAGTGTTATCGAAGGTTGAAGAGTTGAATAAGGTGATGGGTTTCTATAACTACCTTCTTTCTAAGCATTGCTTTAAAATACCTCTGAAAATATTTCTAATCAAACTTTGAGTTTAGAAAAATAGTAGCAGTATTCGTTCCATGAAATTTCTCTCCAACCGCAGCTCTTCAATGTTACATTACCTTTTACGTACTCAGCATGAGATTTCCAAGAAGTTAATACTTCATTATTTATCTTATCAGTTTAAACAGTAGTGTAAAGACTGAAAAACATAATAACCAACTTCATATTGTATATACAGACCTCAATGCTAATTGTATTTTAAAACTGTAAAGTGACCACTCGGGCTAAGTGATTTGATATCAAGGTGTATGGTGTTTAGTTTTCTGGTTGGCTTCAAGGGTAATCCATAATCATTTCTGCATATCATTTTAGTATGAGCCACTGTTGAAATAACTTGATTTCATCACAAAGCTGATCAGTTCATCATCAAAATGTACTGTATTTCAGAGAATATTCAGAAAAGTTACACTTGTTAAATTTTATCACAGTTATGTTTATTTATTTGAATTGTATGTAGATAGCAAATACTGACAAGTTATTAATGTCTCAAACAATTTATGTGCATAAGTTAACTTTTTGGAATAGTTAAATCAATTTTCATACTTTAAAATAGTTGTAACGACTTTGATAATCTTGGATAGTCTACTGTAAAATAAGTATGATTCTACTGAATTATTTCTTTTTACATCATTCAGTAAAAGCCATATTTTATTTGGCAATATAACTGGTGTATAATTACGGAAATGAAGTTTTACATTTAAACAGAACTATGGTATTGCGGAAGTTTTACCAGACAGTTGGTAACGATGATCAGAAAGCTAGTTCTTTTCTGTTCAATACTCTTAGCTAGATATCAGTGTGTTACTGTTGTTGTGCTTGACAATGATTCACTCGATTAGATGCATTCTGTTTAAATTCAGTGACATGTGCTAACCTAATAGATCCTGTCAGTCACCTTATCTATACGATGTGTTGATCACTTTTCAATTTCATATAATCAGTATAGATTGCATGTCAACAGGTTAAAGATAATAGTATAGGACGATCCTAAATTGATGATCGCTTTTCTGTTGTTTCACTGTTTGTTTGTTCAAACCAAATCCATAATGTACTGGTCTCAGTTACTCAAATCTGACCTATTACCTGGAGTACTGTGTGTTGAGCATTAGATTCTGGGAAAAAATAAATTTGTCTCTTGAAGAAGTTTTTTCTGACATTCGCTTCTCTCTTTTAACTTGTTTTAATCAATTTTTTCCAAAAATATTTATTTCTTCATTTAGATTTAATCAAGATAAAGCTATCTACAATCTTCTAAACGCTGGAGCGGATTTTTCTACTGTTGATAATCAAGGTCGTACAGCACTTTACACTGCAGTTAGTGTAAGTGCTATTGAATCAGTTCAAGCAATTCTCAATCATCCAACATCGGGTTTAAGTCCATTCTGTTATTTACCAAATACATCACAAGATTCTACAACACCACTTATACAAGCAATTAAATTAGGAGATACTGGTAAAATTAATTACACTATTTATTTACTATTATTATTTTCATACTTTTGTTTTAAATTAATGAATATTTGATTATTATTATTATTAATATTTCAATTAATTGAACGTAACATCCTTTCTCTAAAGAACACTTCAACTTTACAATTAACACATGTTGAGTATACTTAGAATATGACATTACCTAATTTACGTATTTGCCCACTGTAATACAATAATTATAAATTTATAACTATAATGCCTATTGATGAAGATATTAAAAATAATTGTTTGCTAAAATCTTTCTCGTTTCCGAACATATATGTAGTAAAAGAGAACTCAACCGGGGAAAACCATACATTAAATACATAGTTCGCACATCATCCTTCAGTCGTCCTGTAAATATTTCTTCATTCTTCCAATTCTGTTGTTATTGAAATTCTTTTCTGTTTCTCTTCCTTTTATCCTTATTTTAATCTTCTGATGGCAGGTATTCCACTTCCGTCTGCTACTACATATTACATATATCTGTCAGCATAAGCAGTATATATATATATATATATATATATATATATATATATATATATATATATATATATATATATATATCATGCACAATCTAAATTACCGTCAAATCATAGTCTGGTTGTAACTATAGTCAAGATAGGTAAAACATGAGTATTTAATACTTTATCTGTTTCTAAAATGTAGATGAATATAATTAGCACAAAAATATGACATAGATAACCAGAAAAAAGTGAGAAAAGCACTTACACATAACACTGAATGTGTTATAAAATGAGTAATTGTGAACAACAGTAATACTTGTAGAAAGAGTATAATCTCATTGATTAGTTGATAATTAAAAATAAACAGGTTACGCCATTGTCTATCTGAACCAGGTTACTAGGCATTTATAGTAAACTATTATTATTCAACTCCGCCCGTAGCTCTTCTAGGGTTACTACAGGTCCAAAGACCAGGTAGATGAGGAGGTTTGCGAGTAGAGTCAGCAACCGCATCCCATAGAAAACAACCCTGCTAAAAAATACTAGCCAGAATAAACCATTTAAACCATTTGTACTCTTTCCTACGAGTTGAAGAATCTTCATTCAAGAGAATTATGACACCACGGTGAAAGCTGAGATTATTCGGAAGTCACGAGATCAATACCCCTTCTAACAACGAGAGCAACAATTAATATGGGTACATGGAATGTTCGGAAAATGTAGGAGACCGGGAGGACTGATCAAACAGCAACGGGAATGAGGATACACAACATGTTCGGTTCTTGAATCAGTGAAACCGATCGAACTCAAGCTAGACAGAAAATATTAAATTCGGGAGAGATGTTGCTATACTCTAATCAAGAAGAAGAAAATGCTCCACAAACTCAGGGTATGGTTCTGATCCTGTCCAACCAAGCACGAAGAGCAACCATAGGATTGGAATCTCATGGATCCAAAAATCCTCAAAGCATCCTTCAAAACAATGAAGAAGGGAATTATGTTGAATGTTGTCCAGTGTTATGCGCCAACCAGTAATAGCAACGAGGATGATGAAGACCATTTTTACGAGAGGTTGTAATCAATCATGGTGAAGTATTCAGGAAAGAACATGACCATCCTGGTGGGTGACCTAAACGCTAAAGTAGGGTAACACCGGGTACGAAGATGTCATGCGACAACATGAACTGACTTGCAGAAAGGAACGAGAATGGTAAGAGATTCGCAAATTTATGTGGATTTGGCAAAATGGTTATAGGCGGCACAGTATTTCCCCGCAAGCGTACACACACAGCTACGTGGTTCTCATCGGATTACACTACATAGAACCAGATCGGTCATACTTCCATCGCTAAATAATTTAGAAGGTTAATGGGATAATTTAGAACCAGGGGAGGAGCTGACATAGCTTCGAACCACCACCTGGTGGTTGCAGAGATGATACTGAATCTAAAGGAGCACTGGACAGCTGGAGAAACAGCATTACAAAAGTTTAGTACAACTTTTCTTCAACATGCTGGCAAATCCAACGAATTCGAGATAGTTCTCAACAACAAGTTCCGAGCCTTACAGGATCTACACAAAGAAGAAGAAACTATTATGGAGGGCAGTTGGAAAGGGATTAAAGAAGAACTAACTTCAATATATTAGGAGGTTCTATACCTCAACAAGCATCATCATAAGGAATGGATTTCTATAAAAACACTGGACGCGATCAAAGAAGGGAAGAACAAGAAGACAGCAATTAACAACAGTCGAACAAGAAAGGAGGAAGTCAAGTCACAAGCTGAACATACAGAAGCAAACAAGCAAGTAAACAAGAGTATTATAACTGGCAGGCACAAATACGTGGAAGACATAGCAACGACAGAGGACAAAGCTATAAGAGAAGGAAATATCAAACAACTATGACACAATGAAGAAACTTGCAGGGAAATATAGTAAACTAGAGTGACCGGTCAATGAGAAAGAGGGAAAGACAATCACTGAGATTCAAGAACAGAGGGGTGGAACACTTCGAAAAACTATTGAATAGACATGCTCCATTAAATCCACCGGACATCGAAGTAGTACACACAGACCTTTCTATAGATATCACTCCACCAACAATGGAAGAAATCAGGATGGCCATCAGAAAAATCAAGAGTGGGGAAGTAGTAGGATCCGACAATATACTAGCCGAAGCACTGAAGTCAAACATAGAAGTAACTGCAAGTATGCTTCATGTTCTATTCAGGAGGATTTGGTAGGAAGAACAAGTGCCACCGACGGACTGGAAAAAAAGGGACACTCGATCAAGATACCAAAGAAGGGAGATCTGAGAAAATGTTTGAACTACAGAGGAATCACACTACTATCGGTACCAGGGCGCGTTTTAAACAGAGTATCGCTGAGCTGGATGAAATTCTCAGTAGACGATTAACTTCGAGATCAATAGGCCGAATTCCATAAAGATCGGTCATGCATAGACCAAATCGTGACTCTACATATCATCATTGAACAATCAGTTGAGTGGAACTCGTCACTACACATCAACTTCATTGACTATGAGAAGGCGTTTGACAGCGTGGATAGAAGAACATAATGAAACCCTCCTCAACACTGTGGTGTGCCTGAGATTAGAAACATCATCCGGAATTCACACGACGGACTACACTGAAAAGTCGTGCATGGAGGACAGCTGGTGGATCCATTCCAAGTGAGAATTGGAGTCAGACAGGGCTGTTTACTCTCCTCCTTTCTCTTTCTTCTGATGGCCGACTGGATAATGAAGACCTTCACATCTGAGAGGAAGCACGGAATACAATCGACACCTTGGATGCAACTAGACGATTTGGACTTCTCAGATGACCTAGAACTTCTACCCCACACACACACACCGACAAACGCAAGTGAAGACAGCCAGTATAGCGGCAGTCTCTGTCTGCAGCAGTAGGCCTCAACATGCACAAGGGAAAAGCAAGATCCTCAAACACAACATGGAGAACACCAACACAATCACACTTGATGGAGAAGATCTGGAAGAAGTGCAAAAGCACTACGTACCTGGTCGGCATCATCGATGAACAAGAAGGATCCGATGAAGACGCAAATGTAAGGATTGGTGAAGCAACAACAGCACTCCTACAGTTGAATGTCATATGGAACCCAAAACAACTATTAACCAATATCAAAGTCACAATCTTCAATACGAACGTCAACACAGTCCTACTGTACGAAGCTGAAACTTGCAGAACTATTACAGTCATCATCAAAGAGGCACAAGTATTTAGAAACAGTTGTCTACTCAATATACTCAATATCCATTGACCGGATACAACCAGCAACGGCCTACTGTAAAAGAGGACAAACCAGCTTCGAGCTGCGTAGGAAATTATGAAAATACATTGGGAGTGGACATGACATAAATTGAAGAAATCGTCAAACTGCATCACTAGGCAAGCGGTAACTTGGAATCCTGGAGGAAAACGAAGAGGAGTGCTGATGTACACACTGCACAGAGATTTGGAATCAGACATGAAAATGATGAATAGCAACTCTAAAGGACTACCCAGGACAGGGTTGGATGTCGAACGCTGGTGGTTGGCCTGTGTTTCTCCACGAGGACTAACAAGAGTAAGTAAGTAGGTAATTATTGGTCAATTTAATGAAGGACGTCAATGATTGAAGTTATTATCAACTATCTTACAAATCGACTATTTCAAAGTAATTCTCACTAGAAATTGATGTCACAACCGTAAAGTCATTGAAAGTCATGAAACTTAGAGTGAAACAACATAGGAATCAGATAACAACACACTGATATTGGATAATAATTGTTCTTTATTATGAATGAACTGAGATCGGAGTTACAATTAAATGTCACTCCTCACGGAGAGTGTAAACTACTGAATTTCTGATTCAGTGGTTAAAGTGTGAATCTTACTCTCCTCCAGGGTTGAAGATCACGATTTACATCTCGTTTTTAGTTTCATAGTCCTGAAGTTTTTTGAAGTCACAAACAAAAGTCACATTGAATACCATACACAGACTTGTGCCTAATGATAATTATACTGTATGATAGATAAGTCGACTTCCATTAACATTGTAATATAACTTGACCACTGTACTTTATTGATATTTACTATTTAACTGCAACTTGATTGCACTTTAAGAAAAAGTAATTCATTGTTACTGAATGATGGAGACTTGACTAGGGACTTTTTAAAGAATATTTTTGCATATAAATGTATATAATTCATGAAATACAAGATATTAAGTTGTGTCCTTTTGTTAAACCTTTTTTTCATTTGTCTATTACACAGACATATTCAATATGCTATTACATGCAATGAATGTATTAGTTTGTGCATTGACAAAGACTAATATTTCACGTGGTCAAGAATATACAAGTTATGATATAGTTGGAACATCAACGGATTTACTTCATATTCAATCTACATCATCATCATTATCAACTGGAGCAGTAGCATCATCATCTCCACCAACAGTGATCACTACACCAACAGTCAGCGGTGGCGTAGAACTTAACTACGAAGAGAATACTCTAAATTTTCTTGATATTAACACTTCAGATAGTTTAGGACGTACAGCGTTACATTGGGCAGCTGTAACAGATCAATCGGATATCATCCATAGTTTGTGTAATTCTGGTGCAACTGTAGACGCACAAACATTACATGAAGAAACTCCATTAGCATTGGCATGTAGAGAAGGTGCTATGAAAAGTTGTCGTTTATTGTTGCTAACTGGAGCTAATTTAAATTTAGCCGATTATTTAGACCGTACACCGAGAGATTTAGCTTATTTAGGTGGACATTATGAGATTGTTAATTTATTAGATGAATATACCGCCAATTCTAACACTGAATATTGTACAAGTGGAAATCTAAACAAATTAACTAAAAAGCATGATTTATTCACTTCGAAAACATTGACAACAGAAGCAACAGACATAAATACATTATCTACACTGCCAAGAATAACATCAGTGGAGCAATCTTATTGTTCATATTTTCCAACTTCCAAATTATATAACAACAGTCAGCATCAATTGACCTATTATGATACAGAGTCTATTACTCATAAACTATCAACTGGGAATCCAGCATCCCAGCATTATTCAACGATGAAATCAGCTGTGAAAAACATGACTGAGAAAAAGTGTCCAAAGAATCGAAGTATCCATTGCATTATGACAACAACTGTTAGTACTATTGGAGTTGCTACAACGACAACAGCACCAACATTTATCGAGACATATGGGTTGACAACAACAGTAGCTACATCATCGTCACTAGTGTTTAACAATAAATATGACTCGTTGTCGGCATCACAATACTCAGTGGTGAGTGAATCAACTACAAAACTCATTACTACTGATGATACCACTACTACTAACAATAATAATGGTAATAATAACAATAGTAAGCGTACACCTCCATTTCTTGCTCTGATGAATACTAATACTAATAATAATGACTATATTGATAACACAGTATTAAATTCTATTAAAGCTCATCAAACATTAAATAAGCCAGACAATTTTGAATCATTTACTAATAACACAAACAATAATAATAGTAGTAATGATGTTCAAGTTGAAATATTCAAGGATTCATTATTGAAAATTGATTATAATTTTAATAATAACAATAATAATAATACACATACTAATCATATTATAACCAATTCAAATATAATGGGTTCCGATGAAAGTGAATCACCAAATCATTGGTCATCAAGTTCATCTGATTTATCACCAAATCGGACAAATATTAATAATATTATTTTACAGAAATTCGATGAACAACCATCAATAATTCGTGGAATTCATCATCAATTAAATACATCAAATTTATCATCCATTATGTTATCTAAATGGAAATCATGTATAAATGTAAATGATTATCCTCATTATAACAGAGTTATTACAAATTGTAATTCCACAAATCCTAATATTATTAATACTACTTATAATAAACAGTCATTTCTTACCAATTATAATAATCAGTACCATTTCAATGATTACAATAATAGTCATCACCAACAACAGTATCAACGTCAATATAATTCAACAGATAGACAGTAATAATCTTTGACTTAAATCATAAGTAAATCCTTTAATTATCATTTTATTATGAACATCTATAATGTTCATTTGTAAACTAATCATAAGTTAAAATAAGAAGAAGAAGAATTGATGCTTGTGTAGAATGTAACGAAATTCTTTCTCTTGGAAACTTGATTGAAATGAAACCTATGATAGATGGAAGAATTAGTCAATGTTGATTTATCAAATAACTTCACTATGTGCATGTTTGTGTGTATTTATGTGTAGATGATGACTTATCATTATGTTGTGGTGGTTTAACATGTTCTGTATGTCGTACAGAATAAAACAAAATATCCCCACATAGAATCCACATCAAAACATTCCTTTTGGAAGAGATCAATCGTATTATTTAAGTCATCATTCCCAGCATAGAACTGTTAATAAGGTTTAAGATAATAATTTATCACAAATCAATAACTACCTATATGTACATATTATGTTTATAATGATGAAAGCAGTTGAGAGGAGCAAAAAATTAGACCACCTTGATAGCGAATGGACAAACTGCATTTCTATTTCTCTCCTCTAATTCATTCATTCAGTATCGCTTCCACATTTTCGTTTTTATTATAAATCCAAATACCTTTCTCTATTGTGATCACAAACCAGCATAAAACTTTCATTTATATATATATATATATATATATATATATATATATATATATATATATATATATATATATATATATATATATATAATAGCTTACAGGTATTCATTATTTTTGCTTTCTGACTTCCTCAGTATTTCTAATGCTTGTAAATAAATCTTCTAAACACTTGTTAGTGTTATACAGTATGGGACGACATTGTGTAAGTGGGTGTGAGGCGTACTGGTTATATGAAAATATACTGTGTTAGTAGTAATTTCCGGCAATGGGACTTCCAGTAGTAGATTTAAATATTCAAGGAGTTTACTGGCATAAATGAGATTTCACAGGTTGAAATCGTGAGTCAGTTGAAGCTAGACCACCATTGAAAACCTGGAAGCACTGGACGGCCGTTTCGTCCTGGTATGGGACTCCTCAGCAGTGCGCATCCACGAACCCGCTCCCTGCGGGATTCGAACCCAGGACCTACTGGCTTCGCGCGCGAGCACTTAACCATTAGACCACTGAGCCGGCATGCAACGGTGTTAATGTCTAACTTCAACCAATCCACGAAGTTGCACCATCGAACACCAATGTCTTCAGTGAGCTGATATCTCACAATGGTGGTCTAGCTTCAACTGACTCATGATTTCAACCTGTGAAATTTACTGAAATCTCCACAAAACTCATTCTGATAAATGAGATTGTAAACACTGATAAATGTTATATATTAGTTAGTCAGAATTTCTACACGTTAACTAACGTGATTATTGTTTCTCAAAGGTGAGTAATTTTCTTGGAAATTACTTACTTACGCCTGTTACTCCCAATGGAGCATAGGCCGCTGACCAGCATTCTCCAACCCACTCTGTCCTGGGCCTTCTTTTCTAGTTCCATCCAATTCTTGTTCATTTTTCTCATGTCTATCTCCAATTCTCGGCGTAATGTGTTCTTTGGTCTTCCTCTTTTCCTTTGACCTTCAGGATTCCATGTGAGGGCTTGTCTTGTGACACAGTTGGGTGCTTTCCTCAATGTGTGTCTTATCCACTTCCAGCGCTTCTTCCTGATTTCTTCCTCCGCTGGGATCTGGTTTGTTCTCTCCCACAGTACGTTGTTGCTAATAGTGTCCGGCCAATGGATCTGAAGTATTTTGCGTAGACAACTGTTAATAAACACCTGTATTTTCTGGATGATGGCTTTTGTAGTTCTCTAGGTTTCTGCCCCATACAGTAGAACTGTCTTGACATTTGTATTGAAAATCCTGACCTTGGTGTTGGTTGACAGTTGCTTTGAGTTCCAGATGTTCTTCAGTTGTAAATATGCTGTTCTTGCTTTGCCGATCCGCGCCTTCACATCTTCATCAGATCCACCCTGTTCATCAATGATGCTGCCCAAATATGTAAAGGTTTTTACATCTTCCAAATCTTCTCCGTCAATTGTGATTGGATTGATGCATTCTGTGTTGTATCGGAGAATCCTGCTTTTCCCTTTGTGTATGTTGAGACCTACTGCTGCTGAGGCTGTTGCCACACTGTTTGTCTTCTCCTGCATCTGTTGTTGCGTTTGGGATAGAAGGGCCAGATCGTCTGCGAAGTCTAGATCATCCAACTGCATCTTAGATGTCCATTGTATCCCGCGCTTCCCTTCAGACGTTGACGTCTTCATGATCCAGTCGATCACCAGGAGAAAGACTAAGAGTGAGAGTTAGCAACCTTGCCTGACACCGGTCTTTACTTCGAACGACTTTGTCAACTGTCCTCCATGCACGATTTTGCAGTGTAATCCATCATATGAACTCTGTATGATATTGACTATCTTCTGAGGCACGCCGTAGTGTCGAAGAAGTTTCCATAGTGTTGTTCTGTCCACGGTGTCAAATGCCTTTTCGTAGTCAATGAAGTTGATGTAGAGTGATGAATTCCATTCAATTGATTGTTCCACAATGATCCGTAGAGTTGCGATTTGGTCTGTACACGATCTATCCTTACAGAATCCTGCCTGTTGGTCACGAAGTTGGGCGTCTACGCAGTCCTTCACCCTGTTTAACAATACCCTGTTGAAGACTTTTCCCGGTATTGAGAGAAGAGTGATGCCCCTGTAGTTATCACACTTGCTGAGATCGCCTTTCTTCGGTATTTTGATCAGAAGTCCTTCTTTCCAGTCTTTTGGTACTTGTTCATCATCCCAAATCTTATTGAAGAGAATGTGGAGTATCCTTGCAGTTGCCGCTACGTCTGCTTTTGGCGCCTCTGCTGGAATGTTGTCCGGTCCTGCTGCTTTGCCACTCTTGATTTGTCTGATGGCCATGCTGATTTCTTCAATTGTTGGTGGGCCAACATTGATTGGGAGGTCCGTGGATGCTGCTTCGATGTTGGGTGGGTTCAGTGGAGCTGGTCGATTCAACAGTTCTTTGAAGTGTTCTACCCACCTGTTTTGTTGCTCTTCAATGTTGGTGATTACCTTGCCTTCCTTGCTTTTCACTGGTCGTTCTGGTTCGCGGCGATTTCCAGAGAGTTTCTTTGTCGTGTCATACAATTGTCTCATGTTTCCTTCTCTTGAAGCCTTTTCCGCCGTCGTTGCTAAATCTTCCACATATTTACGTTTGTCGGTTCTGATGCTCCTTTTCACTTGTTTGTTTATTTCCGTGTATTCAGCTTGTGCCTTGGCTTTTTCTGCTCTTGTTCGGCTGGTATTGATCGCTGCCTTCTTGTTCCTTCTTTCTTGAATCTTATCCAGTGTATCAACAGTGATCCATTCCTTGTGGTGGTGCTTCTTGTGACCCAGGACCTCATGACATGTTGAAGTGATTGCCTCTTTGATCCCCTTCCAGTTGCTCTCCACAGTAGTTCCTTCTCCATTGAGTAGATCATGAAACGCTTGGAACTTGTTGCTGAGGACTATCTTGAATTCGTTGAGTTTGTTAGTATCCTGGAGAAAGGCCGTATTGAACTTTTGTGATATTGTCCGCCCCGTTGTCCAGTGCTTCTTGAGTTTCAATTTCATCTTGGCGACTAGTAAGTGATGATCTGATGCTATATCAGCTCCTCTCTTGGTTCTCACGTCCTCTATAGTCCTCCTGAACGTTTTGTTGATGCAAATATGGTCGATTTGGTTTTGTGTAGAGTGATCCGGTGAAGTCCATGTGGTTTTGTGTATGCGTTTATGTGGGAATATGGCGCCGCCTATGACCAGCTTATTGAAGGCACATAGATTTGCAAATCTCTCACCATTTTCGTTTCTTTCTCCCAGTCCGTGTCGTCCCATGATGTCTTCATATCCAATGTTGTCCGTTCCAACCTTGGCGTTGAAATCTCCCATCAGAATGGTCAGGTCTTTTGTTGGGCACTTCTCGACGATTGACTGCAGCCTATTGTAGAATTGATCTTTAGCGTCTTCATTGTAGTCGTTGGTAGGCGCATAGCATTGGATGATGTTCATTGAAATGCCCTCTTTCTTTGTTTTAAACGTGGCTTTGATGATCCTTGGTCCATGAGATTCCCATCCTATAAGCGCATTTTGCGCTTGTTTGGACAGCATCAATGCAACTCCTTGTGTATGTGGTGCATTTTCTTCTTCATGGCCGGAGTATAACAGGAGCTCTCCTGTAGTTAGTCGTTGTTGTCCAACTTGTGTCCAATGTGTTTCACTGATCCCAAGTACCTCTAGGTTGTATCTTCTCATTTCTGCAGCAGTTTGGAAGGCTCTTCTGGTGTCCCACATTGTACGAACATTCCATGTACCTAAATAAATGGTCGCTCTGGTTGTCAGAAGGGGCATCGGCCTCATAACTTCCGAAGTAATTCGGCTTTCATCATGAGGCGTCATAATTCTTCTAAATGAAGACCTACTGACTCCCAGGGCAAAGTTTAAAAGGTTTGAATAATTTTTTTCTGGTTAGCGTTTTTTTAGCGAGTTAGTTTTCTACGGGATGGGGACGCTAACCCCATGCCCAACCCTCCTCCTTTATCCGGGCTTGGGACCGGCAGTAGCCCCCGGAGGGACTCCAGGGGGAGTTTGGGTTAGTACATGTTAGACATTTCTTGATGTGAATGAAAGTGTCTGAATTACCTTCATTGAATCCATGAGTGCTCATGTTAGTATATCTTACTCTAGATTCAGCATTGTTGTTATTTATCTGTGATAATTAGAAGTATTTGAATTATAGTATGAACTAAGAATCCCAGAAATAACGTAATCGGATCAAGAAGTACTAGATAACCACAAACGAATATACTGTATTTAGAATTCGAAATCAATTATTCAGACTGAATACATCATAGTAGTTTACAACAATTATATCAAGTTTGGTTTTTACACCACATAATCCAATTTAATAATTTCATGTAGATAGAAGCAGAGATGAATGATGGCTAGCAGTGGGATATACGATGCACGTTCCGTCCTACTTTGGACTCGTCAGCTGAATATACTTCCATATAGGTAGTTTAAACAGTCCACTATTCTATATTAGTTAAAAACTGATTCACTATTACAGTAGAATATATTTTACACGTTTATTAGTTAAGTCGGTGGATTACTTACACATTTACGTACAAGGTGGGAGCGGTTTCAGTTGAAGAAGAGTGACTATTCACTGACAATATCTATATTTCATAGTTGCGGATATCTCTTATCTAAATGAATACAAAATATTCATACTTATAGAGATGGGCATATACGGATTTCATACAGCTGACATGCGATTTCCACCATGAACTGATGACAGCTGGAGAACTATAAGGATCTTTGAAACATCTCCCACCTATCATGGAACGACCGAAAAGAGAACATTGAAGTTAGGCGCACGATTCTTGGCGAGAACAACTAACTAGTTGTAATTCTTGATTAAATGAGGTGCTTGGGAGATGTATCACATATTTCTAATTAATAATGGTGTAGATGTGGGTCGAAAGAAAGCTAGAAGAGGCCAAAGAAAATGTGGGACCAGTCCATGGGCTGTTGATCTGATTTATGTTGACAGGCAACGACCACCTGGTTGAATTTCATATAATAAGTGTGGGGTTGAAATCCATGATTTCAAATAATTTACAATGTCTCAGATACAATTAATTTTATCTTACTCTAGATCTATGGTTCGACCACTCATTCATACATACCTTCTTATTGTCTGTTTGGATTATATTCTTAAAGCTTAGTCTTTTTCATTATCATTGTTTTGAGTTCTTTGCCATCCATTTTGTCAATTTCATTTCATTGTGCTAATGGTGGTATAGCAACTTCGGTTAATGAACATTTGTACTAGGTTCTACGCTGATTATGACTGACAGGAGAACCACCAAAAGACAGGAAACAGTCTATGATTGGGGCTTCTCAACACTGTACACCCACAAAGAAGTCATTGCTCCAATGAGCTTTCAGTCAAAACCATATAAAAAAGAACCTGTTCAAAAAAATACATTGTCTTGACAATTGTGTTGACTTACTAGATCGCTATCATTTTTAATTAGAATATAAAACTCTACAGTAAATAATTATTTATATAAGTACCGTCAGTGTTCTCGTGTTTAATAAAAACCGCACTCCGAAATATAAAGGTCATGACCAAAATTCTATGTGATCCACAAAGACAGTTGGCCTGCAAATGATCTGGATGTGAATGAAATTTTATTTGTGCAAACTTTATTTCATATCTTGTACATAAGTATCACATTAATCGGATATTAACATTGAGTCTACTTGAGCTCAGAGCTTTTTAGGGAGGAATTGTGGTGTATCTTCCGACTACATTGTAAATGTGAATTGAGCGATAGTGAATAGTCAACGCTTGGTTAAAATATATTCCCCGTTATAACATTTAGTGTAGTCAACCTTAGGTGCTTCATGAAAAAATGTTTAGTTAACAATTCCTGATATTTTATCGCAACAATTTTTGAATATTCAAAACATCGAACACGATTTCATGCCAATAACAATTTCATGACGCGACCAGCTAGTTTATCCCAAGTCTAATTTTCATTGATCGCAATAAGTACGTGGAACCGACAAAGTACCAATACCAGAATACTTATAGTTTCCCATCATCTATGTTTATTGGTCACTTATCAAACGTAAATCGAGAGATGTCAGTACTTTATAACGACCTAGTTACTGACGGCATTGAGAAAATTGCACACATCAGATACTGTAGTACATAAAATGGTCAACATGCTCCACTTTTTGTATTGATAGTGCTTTTATTTTAATATTTCCTGCAGAATTTTGAGTGTGGTGATCTGAACCAATACACTGAGCCATTCAATTTCTCCAATTAGAACACATAATTGCACTACCTCATATCAGTATACAGGAAACGCATGGTAAGCAATTCTTAGTCACTATTCTACCAACGTTTTTTCTCAACAAAAACAAAAAAAGAATGCCTGTGTAACTTAATTTGAAAGAGGATTTCAACATATACCGACCTATGAGACTTCTACTTACTTTTCTGGATAATAAAAACCTGATGCAATAAGCATTCCAAGATATGGCGCACAATGGATGGGACTTAACAGCCAATTACATTTTCGTATATTGTGTGAGCGATTCGCATGACATGGAACCTCATAGAAAAGTGGGCAGGATGAAATGCTATTCAAAACCTAAATGATTTAGATATCGATAAATATACTTTTGGGTTGGAAAAAGACCTTATATTCCTAATAGTCTAAAACACTGTTGGGTGAAAGTGTGCAGACCACGGGATCAATGAAAAACACCATTTCATTAGATCACAATACAAACGAAAAATAGTTGATTTTGTAGAGAAGAATTAGACTGTGGACTGCGAAATTTTATCTACAATGTTTTATATTTGAAATGTGACAGTCGTATGAGGAGCATAGTTCATGTAAAGTAAATAGTTACTAAGATCCTAATTATTAAAAGTAGTAGCTAAGAATCAAAAGATTCGAAACAGAAAATTTTTATTTAGAAACAATTAAAAATGGTTTCAGTCTTTAGTTATATCTACATAAGCGTACACGCTCACTGTTCGGCAAGTGCAGAGTTGTCCATCCATGTACTCGTTCTTTTTGGGCCATAATGAACTTTCTGGTACGTTCACAAGATGGGTTAGTACACATCGGACAGCGAAGCATGAACTGTTTCGAGCATGGATCACCCAGACGAAGGTGATCTAGGACTAATTCGGCTAGGCCCTGAAATAAAAAAACTATCTCAGGTAAAATTAATATTTAATTCCTACAAACACATGACTATGATAACAGAATGCTTAATATTTAGCAATATGAACACATTGAAAATGAAACAGGATCCAAAGACAAAAGTAGATAAAAACCCTATAACATAATCCCATTCCAAATTCTTAAGTCGAAAGTAAACTGAAAGTTTTACAATGTAAATGTCGTAGAAAAAACAATGTTTTTTGCCTTCTTTATTTTAAAGAAAAAAGACATCATTTTATTACTTTTCTGTGAGAAGCGAAACATAAGAGATGCATGTCCGATTTTCGAACTGATAACTGGATATTTGCAATCTAGTAAATACCGTTGTTCTCACTGAAGCTGCGAAACAAAGCTTATACAGAGACAACCATTACAGTAGCTCATAAAATTGTTCAAAGCAAGATATTTCAATGATACCACCATAATTCACAAGAGGCTTCACATCATTTGTTATATTTTTACCACCCACGTATACACTTTCAGTTGTCCAGATATAACGGATAGAGTTGGTTTAACTTGGTTTAGATGAATGTATGAGTGCAATTTACCTTTTCTCACTTGGAAATGTTAATTATACTGTATTTTTCTCCATAGGAAGACAAAACTATTTATGTTGACCAACGTCTGAATAATCTCCCTGTTCTTTCTGCTATAGTTAAACTATTAAGGTGAGGTAAGAACTTATGTTGTTACAGCAATACAAAACATTTTGAATGCTGTAATCAACTGTTACTGGAGATGGACGATGATAATTTTAACATTACACACGTCAGTTGTTACGTAGTGACTCAAACAGATAGTTCATAGAAATTATACAATCTACCCAGTTATGAATAGTTATATTCTTTATGATAATCGAGGCTTACAAAAAGTTTACATTACATTGAACTCTGGGGGTAGCTTCTCATCCCCTTTGACCTTTACAAGATGAGACTGAAAAAACGACAACTGTCAATCTTTTGTTCGAACACTAAACAATACCACTTACTTGACTGAATGCAGGGTCACCATTCAGTGATTGTGATCTGCGTACAGAAACCATACCGGCTTTAGCTGCTATTTCAGAGCAATATTCTATGTCCATTTCATACAGGGTTTCAATATGATCTAGAGTGAATGCAACAGGAATTAATAGCGCGTGTCGATATCCTAAACGACCCAACCCATATAGGGTGTCTACTGTTGATGGACCTAACCAAGCAGCTGGACCAACTTTAGATTGCCAAGTAAGACGATAAGGCCATGAGAAATTGAGTTGTTTCATGATTGCGTGAACAGTGGCACCTACTTCCTGGAAGTAGTTAACAAATGAAATCTGAAAACAAGTAATATCCTGAAATCAACCACTTTAAATAGATATAGATATGGACCTTTCAAGTTTCACTTAACTGAACAAAAAAACCAGAATCAAACAAAGGGATGTCATTTCCAATTTGACTTTTCTACTTTTAAAAGCTCATAAATTTTACCGACTTAATGACATAAATCTGGAGAGCTATGTAGGTAGTTATGGAAATGGTTGGATTAAACAGATAACCAGTAATTACTTTATTATGACTTGCAGATTAAGTAAGAGTTTGAATACTCGGCTTTAAGACACTTTGTCGTGGATGGTGGTGCTACCAGGCTCTCAAAACCCAATTATTTGTTAGAAACATACGAATATGTTCTAGTTTTTCAAAAAACAATATGAACTACGTGGCTATTAGATTCTTCAAGACCTTTAGCTTATTGTCATCGTTAAGTTAAACATGAGGACTTAAAACGCGGTTTCGGATTTTAATCGTCCGTTGGCTCCACATAGTAAATTTGATAAGAGTTGAGGTTCCAAGTAGATGCAAATTATAGATGTTAAAAGAATTCTAAGACTTCAGATTAATTGGAAGTTCCGCTTGGTGTTTGAAAATGGGAAAATTTTTATCGTATGTTTGTGTAAATCAACATAACCGGATGTTTTTACGTGTATAACAGTTAACGCTACTTGATAATTTAATCTAAGATAGAAACTGACTTTATGATATGATCCGTCGGTTAAAAATGAACTGAATAGTGATAGGCCAGATGAATAATGCAAATTTTCATACTGTAAGCAAAATATTCTAAGTTATGTGGGCTTATTTTTGGACGAAGTACGTTACAAATACAATAAAGTCAAAGTGGTGGGGTCTTTAACTGTTCTGTGAGTATACAATGCTAAGCGTCTACACGCCATAAATGTCTTAAACCCACCTGAGGATAAGGATCACCGCGATTGACGACAGATAGTGGAACCGAATGTGCACTGAAAATTAGGACGGTATTCGCACGCTCTGTTTCATCATTAATACTCTGGAGCTCGTCAAGAATTTTATTGGCGAAACTGTTAACCAACGGGGGAAAAACAGGCCATCTGTCAATAAAGGACCAGATCGGTCCAGGACTTTTGTTCTGTACAGAAGGAAGCTCAATACTTTCCACACCATTGAAAGTTTTTTCTTCCCTTTCGTAATGACGAACAATGGCATTTAAACTGCTTCCCGAAGTAGCACAGCTGTACTGTGGATACTGACTGAAAGCAACAACACGCTCTACACCGTCTCTACAGTGGAGTAAAATTAGTCGAACAAAAATACCTTTCCATTTCATTAACACAAGATTCCACAAGAGGATGGACATAACGAAATGCAACGTAGAATCTATGAGGAGCTAGTCAAAGAGACCGTCGAAATTTGTGAACTTTGCTCTACCTGTTTCTGGGCTGATAGCGTCTAAGTGTTTCACCATCATTTCACCTTGTACTCTGGTCCAATAGAGAATTGGAGACCCACCACCAATTCGAGAATACTGCTCCTCGATCTTAGGTGACCTTTTCCATGCTACAAAACGAGCTAGAAGACTAGATTGTAACAAAATATTCCTAAATACTCTTGGAACGGCATACGGATAATTTCTTTGTCAGAGAATAGACGTGTTAAAAAATTTTGTACTTCCTTTGTAGTTTCCGGGCCACCCATATTTAGCAGCATTATGCCCGTTTTCGCCCTGAAGATTATGTAAAAGTAGGTTTGCTTACTTTTGCGAGCATTGTCGATAATATATATAATAACGATTGCCAAAGTAATAACGCAAATGTTTATGCAACGCAAACATGGCAATTGGCGCACAACAGTTTGTTGGGTCCAATTTGATTACTGTGTTGATGGACCAGCATGAGCTGATTAACTCTTGTCTTGTTGTTGGGAGACAATAGCAGTAGATATTTTCATCTAGCCTTTGTGACTTCGAGGGACTCAACAACAGATTTGTGTCAGAAAACTTTTTGGCTGGGTCCGTCAATTAATTAAGGGAACAAACTTTATGTTATCAAAAATTTGTTCTACTGACAGCGTGAATCCATGAGTTTATTTATGATAAGTTGTAGCGGTAACTAAATCCTCAGAAAAAATAGTTCTGTATGTCTTCGACATAAATACTGACCTCATTAGTTTTACAACAGCTGAAGACTCTCGGTCGCACATTCTCACGAGATCACTAGTAAGTACGTCGTGCTAAGCACCACCTTCGACAACTAGCCGGATTAGTTCACCCACTTATTTACAAACTGAATATTTTTGTAGAAACATCATCGAACTGTTTGATTCTTGACATTTGCTTCGACTGGAATCGGGATCCTCGATTGTAAAACTGTTACAGACAAAATCATTGTCGAACTCCGACATTTTTAGACCACAAAGGTTCATAGTCCATTTGATTTTGGCCCTATTAGAGCTTTAGTCTGTCACCTATTGCGTTTTATCTCATCATTCATGATTCTAAGCACTTAAAATGAATGAAGGACGATGTTCGAATTACGACTTCGTCTTCAGTAGGAAGAATCTGTAGCGGTAAATAAATCCCCAAAATAAATAGCTCTGCAAGGTTTCAACATTGGGTGCTGACCACATTAGTTTTAATGGATTCACCTAGCTGAAGGCGCTCGGTCATGCATCTTTACCAGATCACGAGTGGGGACGCCATGCTCAACAATCCCTACAATCGCTAGCCAGATTAGATCAGACGACCCTCGATATATTGACAGCCTATCAAATATATCTTCGAACCTCCTCGTTTCTGTCTTTTGATTTCACTTGGTGGGTATCATTCACATTAGAATTTGTTACTGGTTAAAGCGTTGTCAAACTCCAAATACTTGTGACATCTTCATTGGTGAGCCTAACGTGATCTGGTGCACCGAACCGCAAACTGTGAGTCTGTTCCATTTTGGGATTCTATATATCATCGCCTTATTTTTATTTTCTATACATTGCGATATTTCTGTTTTTGTATACATATATTTTTTCCCTCGTTCATTCTCGTCTGATCAGCCCTAATGGGTTGGTATCGGACGAAATCTCAGCACGGATTCGAAAAGCTCGATTGGCTTTTGCCAACTTGCGCCACCTATGGCGAAGGCGAGATATCCGTCTATCAATAAAAGGACGAGTATACTGCGCAGCAGTCCGTTCTGTTTTAATTTACGGCAGCGAAACATGGCCATTAAGAGTAGAAGACACTCGTAAGCTACTAGTATTTGACCACAGATGCCTTAGAAATATTGCTGGCATCTGCTGGGATCACCGGGTAAGTAATAGTGAGGTTAGACGCAGGGTATTAGGGAATGATGGTAAATCAGTTGATGAGGTTATGAACCTTCATCGACTGAGATGGTTGGGCCACGTGTTACGTATGCCTGAATACCGATTACCACAACGTGCAATGCTATCCGGTATTGGAGATGGTTGGAAGAAAGTTAGGGGCGGCCAAACCAAAACGTGGCATCAGTGCTTGAAGTCACTAACTTCTAGTCTGAGCCATGCTGGTAGATGCAGACTACTTGGTTGGGGTCCACGTGACTATCGTAACCAATGGTTGGAGACTGTGTGACATGACTCAGAATCGATCACAATGGCGTCGGTGTATACACTCCCTGTCTTCCCTTAAACTAAGAGATTAAAATCGCTTCATATCTTTCTTTCTACGAACCAATTCTTTCTTCTTGTACTATATCTCTATATGCAATCTTTCTCTTACATATTACTACCTTTGACCTAACCACTGCTATGAATCTGGTATTCATCTTGTTGTGCTGATGCGGTATGGCGACCTGGACCGATGCACATATGTGCCTGGTCCTACGTTGTAGCTGACTGACTGACTGACTCTCGTACTTCATATCTCACTATGACTGAACAGACACGCAGAGTACTTAAGCTAAAAATTATGTCCCCACCTTCGTTCTAGCTGATGCCCTTCTAACCAGACAATATCGAAGCCTGGTTTTGGTGGAGTTTTGTTCTCTGAGCTGGATGGTTTGGTCGTGGAGCTTTCATCGTTCTTCTGAACAACATCATCAGCACAAACTTCAACACGTGTATGTTGACGACTGTCCAATAGCACGTCCGGACAAAGAATCGCATCTCAAGCATCTGGATCTTGTTTTCGAACGACTACAAAGACATGGCATTACTGTAAACATTCAGAAATGCCAAATCAGAACTGACTCGTTAGACTTCCTAGGACACACTAAAGGTGCTCAAGGCATTCGACCCCTAAGAACAAAAGTGGCGGCCATTCTGAGTTGCCCAGAACCGACCTTCATCAAGCAATTACGCACGTTTATCGGCCTTGTAAGTTTCTATAGACGATTCATACCGAAATGCTCGTTACTTATGAAACCACTTACCGACCAACTTCGTGAAAATGAGGAATCCATGAAGCTGGACGATACCGCGCGAAAAGCATTCTCCAAGCAACAATGCTTGTTCATCAGGACACTGACGCACCCATTAGTATCGCAGTAGACGCATCCGACTCAGCAATCGGAGGAGTCTTACAACGATGGGTTAACAACTTCTGGCAACCTTTGACATTTTTCTCTAGACAGTTGCTAGACACCGAATCGAGGTATAGCACATTCGGTAGGGAACTCCGAGCTATGTATTGTGCTGTACAGCATTTTCAACACTATATCAAGGGCCGTGAATTTGCCCTTTTCACTGACCATAAACTCCTTGCTTTCTCCTTAAGCTCCTCTTCAGACAAGTACTCACCTCGTGAGTCTCAACAAATGGAGTACATTTCGCAGTTTACTTCAGATATTCAACACATTTCTGGAGCAAACAATGTAGTCGCAGACGCCTTGTCTCGAATAACTTCCTCGAACGGTTTCCAAGGAATCGACCTTCTTAAACTCGCCGAGCTTCAAAAAGAAGACAGTGATCTTCAGCACGAGTTATCGTCCACAACACTTAAACTACGCATCAAACAGATGGGGACAGGTAAGGAAACCTTACTTTGTGACATATCTACAGGTAGGTATCGCCCAATCGTGCCGAAACATTATCGACGCAACGTCTTCAATATGTTGCACAAACTTTCTCATCCAGGTGTTCGTGCAACCATCAAGCTTACAGTAGAACGGTTTCGCTGGCCTGACATGAATAAAGACGTGAGGGAGTGGGCACGCTCCTGTGTAAGCTGTCAAAAATCTAAGGTCATCAGACGCAATTAATGTTTCTTAGGCTCATTTAAAACTCCTGATGCTCGTTTCGACCATGTTCATCTGGATTCGGTAGGACCTTTACCAGATTCAAATGGATACTCTTATCTCTTAACCTGCGTAGACCGTTTCACTCGATGGCCAGAAGCAGTACCTATCAAGGACATCACTGCTGAAACAGTGGCCCGCACCTTCGTCGAACGATGGGTAGCAAACTTCGGCTGCCCTTCAGCCATCACTACAGATCGCGGACGTCAGTTTGAATCTGAACTTTTCCGTCGTCTGACCACACTTTTGGGAATCACTTGCTTCCGAACAACTGCCTACCACCCACAAGCAAACGGGTTGGTAGAACGTTTTCACCGACAAATTAAAGCTTCGCTATCAGCTGCGAACGTTTCACAGTGGACCAACGCTCTTCCGCTCGTCTTACTAGGTATTCGCAATGCAGTGAAAGCTGACATTGGATACACTGTGGCTCAACTCGTTTATGGAACGGAACTTCGACTTCCAGGAGAATTCGTGGATCCTTCATCCTCTCCAATGAACATGGATCTAACCTCCTACACGAACAGGCTTACAAACGCAATGCGTTCAGTTAAACCTGTTTCCACTCGACCTCAATCAACTGATGTTTTTGTTCAACCTGACTTACGATGTAGTACACACGTTTTCATTCGTCGAGACTCGCATCGACGGCCTTTCGAATCAGCATGCGAAGGACCCTTCAAAGTTCTTCAACGCGAACCTAAGTACTATATAATCGATAAGGACGGAGCCAACGATAGCATCAGCATCGATCGCCTCAAAGAAGCGTATTTAGAAGGAAATCATATCCATGTCGACTTTCCTTCGGTACAATCGAACGACACGACTCCGACACCTATAATACCTCATCCGACAACCAACACGCACGATAATACTTCAACAGTATCTGAAACTAAACTTAAAACAGCGCGTTCTGGAAGAAGAGTAAGATTTCTAGAACATTTAAGTGACTATTGCACGTAAGACACCACTTAACATTTTGCTTCATCTCAATTTTCCATGGCATTATATATAATATAAAAAAATTTAATATGCTTATATTTTTATATATATGTATTATTTTGCTAATATGTATATTAAAAAAACAAAAAAATTGTAAAAATCGCTTTTACGCTATCACATGTACATGATTTTATTTTATTTTTTTCGCCCACTATGTGTCTTAAAGCGCGTACGAGTTTGTTTCGACATGCACTTATATTTTCTTTTTTTCTTTTACAGGACGGCTGGAAAAGACGATGCAAAGAACGATGAGGTCTACGAGGAACCAAAATTTTCGTTGTACAATATTTTTTTCTTCGCTATATTGTACTTCATGATCCCTTATAGTAAGGAAAGATGACCAGACGCTGTGCGGATTATATCAGGGACTGAGAAAAATAGGTTATGTCGAATAATTTAACACTTAGATCCTAGAAACACAGAATAGTGAGCTAGCTTTGTGGGTGTCACGGAAAGAACACAGTGAAAATCCCTCCAGAGCATTTCATTGGATATTCTCGTCATTTATTTGCTCCCTCTCCTTATCTTGTATTGTAACCTTTACTCAGGTTTCTTGTCAAACACACTTTATGTTCTTCAGTCTTCCTTTGTTA